GGCGCGTGCTTCGCTCAGAGAGAGAGGCTACCTCGAGTGGACTGAGTGGCCTCCTCTGACTCCCATCAGCACCCCCCATGCCCCATAAAGTTTGGACTCCCCAACTCAGCATTCAAAGCCTTCACTAATGGGTCCCACGAATGGGTCTCCACCCCAGAGCTGAGTGGGGCCAGCCAGCCCTAGCCACCTGCAGAATTTTCTGAGTCCCGTCTCTGGGAGACTTATCCACTGACCCATCTCAGGTGGGGACTGGAAATCAGGGTGTGAGAGGGAAGGCCCCTGGATTCAGCTCACCCCGAGTCCCCACTGTGTACCTATGTCTACAGAACAGCCGGTTCGGGCACAGCTCTGTGGAGGACGCCAGGGCGGCCATGGAACTCTATCAACTCTCGCAGCGAATCCGCGCCCGCTGAGAGCTGCCCCGCCCAGCCACCGGGACTGCAGCGTGACCCGGACCTTCCCTCGGGACCAGAGACTTTGCCTCTTTGGGACAACAACTCCTTTGCTTTTGATAAATGCATTTTTAGTAGTAAGGTGGCTCTACTGTCTTTACTCCATCCCTGGGTCTTGTCACTGACTTTCTTCTCTCTGAGCCGGGAGAGACCAGCCGTAGGCAGGACCCAGGCAGCGCGACGTCAGGAAGGAATAAAACACGCTGGCGAGGCGGGCCAGAAACGATTTCCCTAATACCTCGAATCCTGTGTGTGCAAGCAGCAGCCTGGGGCTCCAAGTGGCAAGTGAGTTAATCACCGGCCTCCTGCCTCCCTTCTCCTTTTACTCATGTTTTCAGAGTGGCATTGTCCCCTGGGGCGGCCCTCAGCTCAGGAGTCTATTCATCCCATCTTTATTATTATTATCAATTGCTGGAAGGCATGTATGCTCACCAGAGAGAGACGCAGAGAAAGGGAGAGGAAGAGAGGACCCCCGCCCCAAGGAGCACAGTTAGAATCCCCTCTCTCTCCATCCTGTCAGAGCCTGGGGCATCTCCACACCTGCACCCAGCCTGCTTTTCTTTTTCTTTTTTGGAGAGATTTTTGCTAGAGGGTGCGTGCCCTCACTGCAGAGACAAAGAGACATAAAGTGAGAAATCGCTCCCCAGGGGAATGGCCGAGCCACAATCCCTTCTCTTCCATTCTCCTCTTGAGATTTTCAGCATGCACATACCCCGGATGTGTTTCAAGTCACCTGGTCCAGGACTCGAGCCATGGTCAACTATGTGGGAGTCCAGCGACATAATCATATGCCATCTGCTGGTCCCCCCAGCATGTTTTCCAAGCTGCCAGGGCCAGGGATCCAGCTCCCTTAACCACTAGGCTACAGGGCCAGCCCCCTTTGTCCATCTTGAGATGGAGTCATGGCACTTAGCGCAGAAGCAAAGGTCCGGGAGCGTGGTGGGTGCCACCTCAGCCACCCTGAACAAGCCACACCTCCTGTCTTGGGCCACTTTGTGTGGCCATGACAGAATACCACACTGGGTGATTCACAAAGGTCAGAAATTTCCTCCTGATCGTTCTGGGAAGTCCGAGGGGCCAGCATCTTGCCAAATCATCCCGTGATGGAAGGCAAGTGGGGGGAGGGAGCCAAACTAAGTCTTTTATAATGAAGCCACTGCCGTGACAACAACATGGTCCCTGCATGAGGGTGGCCCCCATTAGGCCACAACTCCCCACTCAACCTCACTGAGCTTTTGGGGACGGTTCGAATCTCAGCACCTCTTCTTTATAGGAGGAGGACGCAGAGGGAGTCGTGACTGGAGCCAGAGAGAACCAGGTTGGAACCCTGGCTTGGCCACGGGGTAGCTGTGTGACACAGGGCGAGTTACTGCGCCTCTCTGTCCCTCGGCTTCTCCCTCTAAAACGGGGACTTATCAAAGTGCCCAGAGAACTTGTGAGATCTTGCACAGGAAGCCCCTCATGCCATGCCTGTCCAGGTGAAAGCACCCGCCCAGGGTCGATAACTCATCGTTATTCTAGAGACCATCGGCAGACCTGGGGGACCCTGCTCTCCGTGCTGTTCTCGGCTGTGGAGCTTTTATTACTTTCTTAAATTTTTTTTGAGAGGCTTTTGGTATAGGGCACATGCACTCACCAGAGAGACAGAGAGACAGAGAAATCACCTCCCAGGGGGGATGGCCACGCCACAGTCCCTTCTCCTCCATTCTCTCGGGATCTTGGGCACGCACACGCCCTGAGTTTAGCCTTTATCACTTTAATTCACGCCTGTGCCCACATCGGATCCCTTAAACCAGAATCACTGGGGTGGGGCCACGGTACCTGCTAGTTTTGCTGTTGTTGTTTTCAGGTTTTGCTGTAAGGCACGTGCACTCTCCAGAGGGACAGAGACAGAGAGAGAAAATGAGAAATCACCCCCGAGGGTGGCTGGCCCGGCTGCACTCCCACCTCCTCCGTTCTCCTCTCAGGATCTTGGGCACACACGCACACACATGCAATCAGTGTGATTTTCTAGCCGCCGGGTCTGGGACTCGAACAGTGCAGTCGGTCATGGGGGGGTCCAGTGCCTTAACCTCCACATCTCCGGCTGGCCCAGCACCTGTTAGCTTTTTATTGATTGATTGATTGATTGATTGATTGCGTCCTGGGTGATTCCCATCCTAGGACACCTGACTACCTAGGAGCCTTCCTAGCCATGGCAGGAACTGAGTACAGTGTCCCCACACTGTAGCGAGCCTCAGCACCCCCTGGGGCATGCTGGGCCAGCCCCGGAGGGTCTGAGTCTGCGTGTCTGGGTGGAGCCTGACAATGTGCAAGTTCTGTGTAGATGCTGCTGGTCTGAGGGGCTGGGGACACGCTTTGAGACACATCCGCTGACTAAGACGTGCGGCCATCACTGAGAGCCGCTCGCCCAAGCTGAGGGCCACCAGGGCGGGCTCTCACCGGCCCAGCCTCTCCCTGGACTCTGTGCTTGTGCAAAGAGACACCTGCAGCCCCGAAAGATGGGGCTTCAGTAGCCCTACTGCACGGAGGAGGGACTCGAGGA